ATTGATTCGATGATTTGTAGAATATTTCCCGGATGAATATATTCCAATAGAAATTGACAACGAGATATCCAGGAGAACGAAAACAAATAAAATGAAGGGATGGAATATGGGATAGAGATAGTATCAGCCGATAGTTGACTATTGAAACTGAATATCGAAGGACATCCACGGGAACAAGATCCCTTTCAGTGGTCGATTGTATCTTCGATTCCCAGAGGAGTTCCGCCTTTTTCCCGCCCATAAAGAATATGAAAAAAAACTGCTCTACACAATCGACTCTAAAGGGTCGATATATGGAGAGTGCAATGACTATTCCTCCAGCTCCGACCCACAAGGGCCTATATTCCAGTATTCCCAAAAAAATAACCAAAACAACAAACCGGAAATCAATACGATTTTCTTCCTCTTTGTATTATTAAAAGAGAAAACATGAATACGATTATTTACTCAGTGGTTGATATCAAGAAAATATATTTTTGAATTCAGGGATTTTCTTTCTTGTGGAGAAAAATTGAGGCGGAAGGGGAGAGGAAAAATGAGAAATAAAATCCAATGAAAAAGAACGAAAGAGAGTGAGGAAAACACGAAACCTTCCCGTTATCGATCATGACGGTGTGACAGGTACCTTTTCAACCAAAAAAAAAAAAAAAAATTCTGGGCGTTCATTATTACTTCTCCCACTTGGAGCTGTACACCACTCGGTTATTTCCGCAGGCGTCGCGGATGTCTATTCATCCTGGAGTTAGTGAGGAAAATAAAGAGAGACCCCTTTTTTTTTTAAGGAAAACTGAGGCCTGTGACGGATATGCTCAGTCCGGTTGTTTCATATTTAGAGCGATGAAGCATTATTCGCGGTTCAAAGACTTTTTCGACGCGTTTTTACTGTTTCGATATTTTTTTTTTGCACTTGTGTCATTGACTCGTGATATAATGGAAATTTCAAGGGTTAAGGGAAATCTTCAGGAAAATTCTATTGCTCCATTACTATTTTTCCTACGTTCTCCAAAATACGTCAGTACTCCGCCCAATAAACCGAGTGTTTATGAAGCCTCAAAGGGTTTTATTTTGTATGCTGATGTGGGTACCAAGGATTCTGAAGGGTTCATGTGGTGTGTTAGTACCAATAGACTGAAACATTCTCCCTGGATATTACCCGGGGGTGCTGTAAACGTGGGGTAATGGCACAGAGGCATACGGTGAATGACATCCGCGACGGTAATAACAAACATGAGTGCGAAAAAAAGAAAATGACTCGGGTGAAAATCCGAAGGAGTCGAATGGAATACCGAGTCTCTCCCGAGGGCCGCGATTATAACAGAGACCAATGGATTCTCTCAATATCTCCAAATATATCCACTCATTACGTACCTCATCACCCCAAAATTAACGTGATAATCAACATCAATTAGTTCGTCCGAATAATTTTCCCCTGATTAGAGTTTATATTGCTCTTATTCTGCTGAAGAAAATAATGAGAGAAATTCAATAGAGCGAGTCTCCGAGAACTGCTGAGGGTAATTAAACATTTTTCCTCGATAGTTTGGACTTCCTGCGACTTTCAACAATTAATTGTATTGAATAATTTTTTTTTTTCTGGGGGAGTGGAGTCGGGAGGAGCACTGAATGTGTGGATATAATGAATTTTTTAAGGGAAAACTTGCACCTCGGTAATAATTTCCTTTCCATCGTTCCTGTTGAGATGACTGGAACGTTAGAAAAACGGTAATGACTATTTTTCTTTTATGCACGGATTCACAAGTTTGTAATTAATGCTGTGACAGTGTGCATTTTGCGTCTGAAACTCTCGACATAAACAACTCGTTTGGACTTGGCTCGTTTAGTCGGTGGGTTGGTTCGATTATGGAAATTCATGCAATCACGGTTGTACCTTGGGGTAGAGTCGGCCGAGTAATAGCGAATGAGTAAGTGCGTTCCTTCAGGTTGCATACACTTTCCCAAAGTTTTTCGTTAAACCCGACGAAAAAAAAAAAATAAAACCAGCCACTTCTCCAGAGATTTTTCTTTCCCCGCACTTCTGCACTCATCTCACTGAATTCCCATCCGGTTTTTGGCTTGTGGGCTTTACTCGTCGCTCGTTAAAAAGTTTTCGTCACTGTTGAGATTTTTGGGGCTTATTTCTTAATTTTTTTTCTTTTTTTTTTCTTTTTTCACCAACTTTTTCTCTCGTCGTTGAAACTTTTATCGCATAACAATTACCCCTTTCCTTGCCTCACCGTTCAAGATGCTCCGTGACTGCAATGAGGGACTGACTAATGATCGCTCACAACATGAACAATATAAAGTGAAGTGCGACAGATATAGCAATGACTCTGTTCCTGAAAATGTCGTCAAGATTAATCTCTTCGTGGAGACAAACGAACAATTGACTAATTATCCCAATTTGTTTCTCTAACCCAATTGTGTTTCTCATGGTAGAATGCAACTACTGGGAGACATTGCTGTTCCCAGGAGGTGTTGGTTGTTCAGGTCTAGGGCGGTGTCCACTGAAAATTACAGGGGGGAGCCGTCGTGTACCATTTTGTCACCATAAACTCCCATTAGCTTTCGCTCCTCCAGTGTGATTTTTACCCCAAAATAAAACCAATCATCCCAAAAAAAAATGCCACTTGAGATTTATTTTTCAACGTTAAAAATCATTCTCGGGATCAATCGATTTTCTTTCATCGTATTCAATATTCTGGGGAAAAATATTCTCTCGTAAGTAATCGGATTTGTGTTGAACAGAGTAGTAGACAAGGGACAACAGCCTTTGACGACCAAAATATTTAAATGTACCTGAAAAAACATACAAAACGTTTTTGCGGACAATGGTGTACGTATGTCCATCGAAAACTCGTAACAGTTCCGTAGAAATTCGCGTACCCATTCCTCTTCTCTTGGGTTATCCTTTAACCTTTTTTCCGAGTTTGGAGTGATCGCTCTATTGCGCGCACTGTTGGGTTTCCAAAGTCCTGTTGAATAGTTTTTGTTGTTTCGCAACTCGTTTTTTTTTCTCAATAAAAAAAAAAAGACTTTTTTCCACACCCCCGGAGGGGGTGGACGATGACGAGAACCAGTGCATTCAAATCGAGCACATCAGCGATTTCGACGGATGTTGCGTTTCATCTATATCGGTTTGCATTTAACCGTTTATCCGTGCATGGGCCAAAACCCAAACGGTGGTTGCAGTATGTGTATGTTTAGGGTGCCATTGCATTTTACGTTGCTGTCCAGTGAAAAGAGGGAGAGGGTAAAGAGGCATCGGTGCGAATAGGAGATATTTTGCTGAAGCATAAAGTGGATTTAACGCGGCCAAAGTGCACCTCTGGGCATAACGATAAATACGGAGGTATACGGTTTTAATGACAATCGTATTGTCAATTGACCATTTTCCATAAACACTGTCGAAAGATGACGGGCAATTAAAATGTAACCCGATTTTTTTTTTTTTTTGGAATCGAAGGAAAACCTGGAAATTTTAATGAATTATTTAAGACCATAATATTTATAAAAGTGTCACGATAAATGGATAAACGGTCAATGTAAAACGTAAGTGGACCGTGTAATGAGGGTTTTTCCCGGTTCCACAACTCTGTGCACTCAACGATATATACTTTACACTCGAGTTTTAATCATCCCCTCGTCCATGCTTCGTCGCTCGAGTGTAAGTAGTCTACAATATTAATTTTATATTACATCAGATGAGATAAGATATTATTTTGTAATTCCGAGGGGCGGGAAATGCTGAATGCAGAAAAATTAAACTGGGAGAATGTTGGAGATAAAAATGTGACTTCCACACATTTTGCATTTTCTTTTAAATGAAAACATATTTTTCATGAGCACAAAGGGAATGGGGATGGTTATAACCCAGGAGGGGTGTCTGGGTTGTGAGCAACAGGGGGATGATAACAAAAACTTCCGGGGTGGTGCGAGCTGTCGAGCGAAAATTGGAACGCACTAGAGCGTGGCATCAAAGAAAATCACGCAAATTCATGGATCTATGACATGTATATCAGGGATAATTAGTGAGAAACGGGAAATTCAGCGGATGGGATGCACGTGTCACATGAAAGGCTACGCATGGTAGGGCCTCATCACGAAAAAAATAAAAAACCATTGAAACTTTCTAAGACTGTCAGGACTTTTAGAAAAAATTTCTCAGGTTTTCCTCATTCATTTTCCGGAAAAAGCTTGAGAAATTGAAGCTGCACCAGAACAAGCAATTAAATCATGGAAAACCTCAGGAAGAATTCACGCGGGATGAAAACATATAATATTATGTTTTGGTCTCTTTTGATGTCAAAAATTCATATTGCTCTCTGTTATAACATAATCCAGTTTTCTCGGAAAATGGGAAAGGAAGAAAAAAATTTCCGGAGAGAATACCGAGTGATTTTATCACGGGAGTAATGACGAAACTCTTGTTAATTGAATTATAAAAAATTCAGGGAAAGTTCTGCACGAGAAAATTCGGGATTGAATGAAGTTGTAGGTTTAATAAAAATGCCTCAATCATATTCTCGAATTAATAAATGCAGAATTCTTTTGTGATCGACTAGAATAAAATTTTCTCATTAATTTTTAATGAGGAATTAACAGAGGATAAAGGGGTGCATATAATACGACTCCAATGATCTCTCCTTCATACATAATGAATATAATTGGAGACCCTTGTGAGCGTTCTACCCTGAAATTGGTTACCTGCGAATATTCCGGAACCTAAACTCAATCCATTAGTAATCAATGTCATCCACTCTGGATGTTGAGGCATCCAGTCGAGACATGTTAATCAATCACAGAAGTGAGAAGTGAGTGTATCCATATTATGCTTCCGTTGATGAGCATCAAAGAGAAATATCCACTGACTAATCGACCAAGTAATAATCAATTGAAGTACGAATGACAACTTGAACGTATGAAATATCCTTAAAACTCCATCACTGATTAAAATACCCCCCCATGCCAATTACTAATCGAATATTTTCTTTTTGTTCCAGAGCAATCATTAAATGGATCCACACAATTTTTTTCTCCCACTCATCACTGACCCCCCAGTGAATTAAGCGATTAGTGAGTTCGATAAATCGGTAAAAATCCCCAGGAGTTGTCTCCCCTAAAAAAATATGTGAAAATAAAAAAGAGGGATGATGAAGTTGAAAGTGATTGGAGAACTCGACGAATGAATTTCATGACTGAGCAATGGCTGATTCGGATGAAACAGTGAGGAGAATACTCCGACACCTGCTGACTAATTTAACCAGTGGAATAATTACAACGGAAACAACCCAACATTTGAGCGAGAACTCACGTATTTACCAGGGTAACCTGGTACCAGTGCCATCACCATCACCACCCACTATGGTAGCCAGTGCGATTAGCGATAGTGTGACTATTTCAACTAATCCGTCCATGGCGGTAACGAGTCCAGCAGTTACGAGCACAGCTAAACCTGACCAACATGTCTATAATTCCACAGGCTACCTGGTTGAACAGGACGAGCTTGAATACAGTGAGTAATAAAATAAAGACTGATGTCATTTTTACCCACCTTTCTCCAGCAACCTAGAACCACCAGAGCTTGAATTCTCTCTCTCCGAGATCAACTCCCTTTCATCTCATTTATTTTCCTTTTCATTCCACCCTTCCACCCACAGTTGTCCTCCTTTTGTTCCCCAAACTGTATTCGGGGCACGATACAAACGAGAAAATCCTCAGCCCCTTGTCGAATTAAACAACTTCGATTCCAGTTGTTGTGCGAATTAGCTGGAGAATCGTTGGTGATTGAGTTTATTTCGTTATCGTGTAGAGCAACCACGAGTTTCTGATTACACTGATAATTTCGAGTGGGGCTTTGATAAAAAAAATATTTAGCGGTGGTGATCGGTACAGATTCATCGAGTAATCATTTTCAATTAATTCTGATGATCTTGATGTATTTATTTCATTACAGAGTTTTGGGTTTAATTGCGGGTGTTTTTTCTCGGGTAGGAACTTTTTTTTTTTTGTTTTTCCTGGGTCAAGTGAAGTTGTTAATGTTTCTTGCAAACACAGGAACCATTTTCACATACTCCACGTTTGCCTTGTAAATTACAGAGAAGAGCGCAATTGGCACCGCCACATCCCCTTCTTGCAAAAGGTCCATTTTGAACGTTTTCTAGAGCCTCTCCTTCAGTGTAGGCGTTCACTGAAATAATTATCCGTCAATTATAATTTTATTATAGTAACACTATTATTATTACGATTATTCTTATCAAGCCCCTGATATCACGAGAGCGAGGGATTTTTCATTCGTTTCATTTCGATCAATCAATTTTTTGTATGGACACAAAAAAATAGCAATTGTCCATTTTTTAAAAATATTATCAATTTACCTGGAATGAAAGCAGTTACGAAAAAGACGGCGAGCGTCACGAGTAAAAAGTAGGTGTAGATTTTAGCCATGGTACTTCGACAGCTGGAGATGTACTGAATACCTGGATCATGGAATTATCGGGTTATATAGGACTGCTATCATGACGGGGAAGTACAAATATGAAATTAATTTTTCTGTCGAGATTGTGCATGATTATTGTACGTTTGTACTTCCCAGCGAGCGGACATTCCACTTATCTCCATTTTCATTGATAAAGAACGAAGCGATGATTTCATAATATCGAGGGAAATTAATTTATCTTCTTTCGGGCTCCCTCACAATTGTACTCTGTTTATTGCTTCACTCTGAATTTTTGACTGCACATTTGAAATGTTTGCCAATTCAGCGGTTCGCCACACGTTTCTCTCGAGCCTCAGACGAAAAAAAAATAATACCGATCCTCTAAATTGGTTGGCTTGTGCTCCATTCGAAAGATACCAGAGTGAGGATCAAAGGGAATGAAATTCAACGGATGTACCTCAAAGTATCAAAGACAGAAGGAAAACTCACGGCTCTTTTAAATTTCTCTTATCTCTTCCTCTTTCCTCTGTTACATTCCTGTTTTTCTCCATATTTTTTTTTCCCCGCGTCTTTTTACACCCCAGGCTTATGTAACCACAGAAATTTCCACCCCTCGTCCCTCTACCTCGGGGTTGATTCAATTCCACAGGAGAACACTCCCTTTGAAATCTGTGCCGATTGGGTGGAGACCGTGGTTTTTCCATTTTCCATTTTCCACGCTCTCGCCCACTCCAGGAAATGGAAATGCTGCGTGTCCCATAATATCCCAAGTATTTCTCGAGCTACTTATTGGTTCCGGCTCAAGTTGCTTTTTTTAAAAAAAAAATAACCTTTCAGTTGTTCTCCAGTATTTTTCCTCCAGCATCCAGGAAGCTCTCGAATGGTAAAATAGAAGGGCAAGAGGTGCCTCTTTAAGTCACAGGATTACGAATTGGTCCACTACTTCTCCAATCTTTTTCTCTTGTCTCGAAACTCGGGGCGAAGTTCAAATCTCTGTTACTACTTTCCATTGAACTTTGTGTAGAGCCCTTTCTCTTGGAAAACTTCACATTTTTTTCATTCCACCAATTTTTTCACCCTCAGACTTTCGAATTTCTATTGGAATAACTTCGCGGGCATTAAAATATTAATTACGCTATATTCGTCGAATCAGTTTATCCAAAAATAACAGAATATAATTGATAAATGGAAATTTGAATTAATCTCGCGTCAAATGTGCGCTCCAGAGTGAATTATCATTTCGTCAAATGCGGTCTGAAGTTCTCGTGAATTCTCCACTGGCATATTAATTCTACTCATAAACCGTCCGAAAATAATTCGAACAATTCCGCCCTAGATTCGAGAGAGACCTTTTGTCCGTAAACCAGAAACATCCCTGTACATTATTACAGTCTCCTTTAATTTCTTTACCCCGATATTCCGGTATTTACGTTGGTCGTTAAAAACACAACCTCACCGGAAGCTGCCTCCAGGGTTTCATTAGATCCCAGTCTAGTTTCATCCCAATGATTCATGATAATTATCACCCATAAAATTCCCACCGCTCATTTCTATTCTCTCAGTGAACCCCTGGTTTTTCCAAAATAATGAGAATTCATTATTTTTCTCTATTTTCCGGACCAACCGGTGAGAATCGATTATTCCCTATTCTCTCAGGAAAAATTTTGATCTCACCCACTGGATTGGGCATTGAGACTCACACATCAACAATTTTTATGGAAATGCCTGCATGTAAAAGTCGTCGATCAGTGATAACTCTCTCTCTCTCTCAATCGATGAGGAGTTTCTTTTTTTTATTTTGAATCGGGGATGTGCGCCACGAGTATCTTGTGCCAGAAGAAGGTGCTTGATTCTTCCGACCGTAAAGTACACGCTACCATGTAACGAGATTTATGATAATGCAATCTGTCTTTAGTGTCGTGAAAAGCCCCAGCGGGGGATTGCTGGATTATTGCTATGTTTACGGACAGAGACATCATCTCCTGCGTTTACCAAACGTCTTGTCTCTCATACGCGTCATTGACAATCATTTAAAATTCTCTTTGTACTCCTCCAATAACAATTTAAATCTCGTATTTTACACGTTGTGTTTTCTCTGTGCAAAATTATTTATTATTCATCGAATTATTTGCCTTCGAGAAATAACGATAATAGCGATCAGATCCTGATGATTATGATCCCTCCCTTGACGAAAATTGTAGGCAACAGCTTTTATTGGGCATTGAATTTCCGGAATGGACGGTCAACTGACGGTTTATGAAGATCCATAAAACCCATGCAAGAACTCAGTTATGGTGGGAAAAAAAGTCGGACGAAAAGGCAAGCAGGATAATGGCACTGTCACCAATTTTTATGGTTGTACAACATCAAACTCTTTTATACTGGACCTTGCCAACCTGATCGTTAAATTTTACGGTATTTGCCAGTCCCTGGTGGATTCTCTTGCCTCATTGTGCATCAATAGCTCTGCGATATTGAATCCGAAATAAAGAATACTGTAATCAATCCATACGAGCAGTACACGAACTCATGATATTTTAGGATAAAATTGGGAGATTGTCGGAACTAGAGTTTTCATTTGGCAGGAAAAAGGGACCAGTGGCACAAGTAACTCGATGAGATTTCTATCTGGGGCAAATTTTGGTGCCTAAATTGATGCCCGTACGTGACAGTCGATCGATCGGTTTGGGATATCAGAAGGGAGTCCCCACGAATACCCGAAATTCCCAGGAACGTGTCTCCACTGTCAAGCCATCCATCCCATGTTATCCCAACGAGGGTCCAGGGATTGATGAATTTCCTCATATGATCGAGGACAACAACTACTTTGTTTCCACTTCACGGTGAGCGAACAAATTGGCTCAAGAGGGTCGTAAGCCCCTCCTAAGAACAAATAAAAGATTTAACAAAGATAAAGTACTTCCAATGCAGCTCAGTACTGTCATTAAATTCTCAGAGCTTCAATCTGTGACAATATCCCAGAATTACCCACTTACCATCTGGAAGACTGTCACAGTTAATTTATCCGGTGAATTAATGAGAATTAATTATCTCCAATTTAATGTTTTCTTTATTTATTCGGTTTTCCTTTCTTCGAGATTAATGGGATCCAATATTTACTCATATTTTTTAAGATAAACAATCTTCAGTCTAAATCTCGAGTAATAACAATACGAACTGATGAAAAGATACGGATTCTTTCTCAATCCTTGGGACTGCTTGTTCTTCTCTACATGGTGGAGAGCCAAGTGAATCGTTGTGTTGACACTGGCGTTGAGGGTTGTTATTTCCCACGGCTGATCCACCGTGTAAATATCCAACGATACAGCCATGTTGGAGCCCAGCCTCACGCTGTGTTATCACAGATAATAGGGTGTGATGATACGAAAGGAATTGGTACCGCATATCCTCGGTGAAAAGCGACGTCAGGGTATATCCTATAACTAAATTGGTGAATAGTTCAGGTCTATCCTTTGTCCACGCCATTTCCCATTACCCTTCGTGGCATCTGAATGGCTCATAAAGCGTTCCGTTCTCTACCTTTATGAACGTCCAAGATATCTGTCGCTATGAAAATTCCCACCGATACACCAATTTTCTGAGCTGTGGGCCATCTTTGGTGATGTGATTCACAGTGATAAGGGATTGGCTGATTATTCAGATAAACTCGTGTGGTTTGAAGTTAGTAGTAGTTAGTAGTTTTGGGGGAAAATCTCGACGTTCGAGTGAATTCATCGAGTCAGTGCTCCTCGGGACAGGACCACATCCTGGTGTGACAAATGAACTGATGGATCTTACACCACCACCATTTGTCGTACTCGGTATGCTCTATCAAGGAAACCTGATGAAGGATCATGTGGCTCCTTGTCATTTCTCATATTGACATTTCCATCGCTCTTCTGGATGGAGTTTCTCCCAATGCACCTGGGGGATGAGAGAAAAATCGGTAACGAGATTCGTTTCGATAATTCCGGCTGATCTTGAGAGAATTGTTCAGATAATTTTACCGATCTCTTACGTTGAAGCGGTAAACTACCAGACGTCGTACTTTACGGTGTTTGTACAATTTCCCCTGATCTCACGGTGAATTTCCTCCACTTCCAGGATCCACTCACTTCCGCATTGAATACCCTGGAAAAACATGGTGCACCGATGGTATGATTTACGATGTAAGATTGACGCTAGATATTTGAAAACACGTGTTGAAATAATACATGGAATATTCCATGATTTATGGGACACATGAACGCTGAATTTCCGATGTATCGCATTGGGATAAAAAATTTTCCATTTTCATATTTATGTATTCGAGAGGGGAACGGTAAATATTAAAACATACGGTACGTCTGTAAAACGTACCTTTTTCAATGTATACTATTGTATTTCACTCTTGCTGGAGGGCAATGAATTGTTTCAAGTGGAAAACTGGCATGCGGGATGTGCCCCTGTCTCTCACCGTCGTCGGGTGACTGAGATTGTGACAAATCCCAGTGTCTTCCAGGTATCCAACCCACCCACAATCCAGAGATGGCTCCAGGAGTAGACTCCTCGAGAAGTATCTATGGTATGGGCTGTCTCACCGATAAAGCATCAAGACAAAGTCCAACCCGACGTATCATCTCCGTCATACATCCTAGGGAACAAGGAGGCGTCACCGATTGCATTCTCACTCGATTCTCAGTCATTCTCCAGGTCCTCAAGTCAGTGCTAAATTCATCGCATGGGTATCACAATACCATCGAAACTGGAGATATTGACTCCAGAAATTCTACACATCCACGAATGATCAATAATGAAATGGAAAAGGGAAAAAGGGAAAAAGGGAAAAGGAAAAAAGGGAGAATCAGAATTGGGAGATTATGATTTTTTTTAATCGACATCCTGGTAATTGGTCTGACAAGGTCCTTTGCTCTTGGAGCAGCAGCTTCTTGTGCGGGAATTGTCAAGTTCTCCGTTATTTTCACTGGGTGGATTGTATTGGCTCTCGACTTTGGATAACATTTTCGATGGTACATTCATTCGCCTATCTGGAAACTCATAGACTGTATTCATCCTGATGGTGTTGAGCACCCGGGGGGCACGAATGAAGAGTATTTCACCCTTGTGGGAAGCTGAGGTGACTGAAAATTCTCCATTGCCCCGGGCAACTTCATTTTCCTCGTCCACTTTATCCCACTTTTTCTCATCCAATGTCACTCGTTCTTGGTGCACTAGCCCCGGGTCATCTTTACCCGATGTACCACCTTTTTTTGGTCCAATATCAACGAGTTTGCAGGCGCAGGGAGAGAGAGGACTGGTGCGAGTTGATGGATTTATATTTGGCTGGATTGAAAGGGGGGAATTGATTTTCATTCCGAGTGAATTATTGTGACTTTGGGAGTGGAAGTAACCGGATAAAATGCTTTTCCAATTTTATTTTTTCATTCGTATACTCCTGATGTAATTGAACAAATTTTTATCAGGGTGATGAACTACTCTAGATAATCCGAATTTAATCGATGGATTAAGGAATTTCAGGAAGGAATCGAATATTTTGGAATAGTGCAAATTCTGTTGGTCAAATTAATCCATCATGGCATCTTAAAACTTGAATTACAGGTGGGGGATGGATTAAATTACATTTGGCGTGGATTTCGGATAGATAAACGTAGTACCGTGAAATTGCTACGGATTTACGTGGGGGAGAGACAGGAAACGGATGGGAGAAATCCAGTAAAGTACAACTGTTGAAACGTGTATACGATTCATGTACAATAATACATACATCCAGGAGGCTCTCATTGGCGTTCAAATGATCGTACAGAAATCCGTGCATGACCCAAAACCACTTGGGCACTGGTCGATCCATTCTCCCACCATTCCCACCACCGAGTCTCTCATTCTGCCCATAAATGTTTATCCGCATTTTTTGCAGTGTCGATACATAATTACGTCGGAGTTCACGGAGTATCGATACTACATCGCTGACAGATGCACTTGGCAGGCACAAACCCTATCCAAAAAATTGACAGTCATTTTGAGGTGTGACAGGCATTTTGAAAAATCAATTTACCTCAAGGATTTGACAGTAGCTGCGATATTTTTTCTGTCGATTGTAGTAATCCTCGTGGTATCGGTCCCATAAATTCGCATGATCCCCGAATAATTCTGTGACTCTGTACAAATCAACGTCTGACCACTCGTCCATATTTGATTTGAATATTGAAATTGGTAACGTGACATTTTCAATCGGTTCTCATGGTATTCATTTGCTGAGTCACTTAAGGTTTACACGTGTACAATTTCGATTTTCCGAGACGTGGGTTATCGCGTGCCCGCCATTTCGAGTGATTCTAGCCCCCCGGATTTCAGTGAAACTGACAGGGACAGTTGACGACCACCAAAGAGGATCCCTCTAACCGCACATGACAGTCCGGTTGTACACTCAACGTCTGCCATGACACGTTTCCCTATTTCCGCGCAGTGATGAATGCGTAATGTCAACGCAATGTACATTATTTAATTAACATGTACTTTTCTTTACTCAATTACTCCAAGTTGAGTGCCGCACACATTTGTCCATTAAAACCTTACAAATAATTATCTCTCACAAATTGCACATAAAAAAATCCAGAGAAATTTTGTCTAATTTGTTTAATTTGTCTAATTTAAATTTTTTCAAAGTGAAAATTCTCCAATTCGTTTCGCGATTTCTCCAATAACCGTTGAATTTTAATATTATTATATTAAATTCTTCATGAATATTTGAAAAATTGTTGTGAACCTAGCGCGTCTTTTTACGCTGTTCCCTGAGAATGTAAAGATCCCGCGGATAAACAGAATCCGCGGCAATCTATTGCATTGAGCACACGAGAGCAATATCTCGGTAACAATTTTCTCCATTTATGTATGCATCCATGAGAATTTACCCGGCGGGGGTTTCGATTGCGTATGTACCTGTTCTGTACATATCTCAACCGAAAAAGCTCGTTGCGTCGCCCACTTTGTTTACCATATACGATCTTGCGCATGTTGCACCCGTTGGCGGGTCACACTGGGAGTTCGGGTTTTGCCAGTGCAACCAGGTATTTTCCAGGTCACCGCCCCTGGATCTCACTCCAAATCCTCTCTCTTTATCTCACTGAAATTCCATCCTCTTCTCTCTCTCAATCTTGCCTCTAACGCACTGACAGAGAAGAAACGAGCGACTGTGTACCAGCAATTTTTACGACTACTCTCCACATCCCACCACCCATGTACAATGTTCAACACCCCATCCCCTTTCACCTTTCACCTGTATACCATTTCTCCTTGTTAAAGAAATCCCCACGAGAATCATACTCTTCGCTGGAAATAAAAAATATTCAAGCCCATTTTCACTCATTTCCGCGAATTCATGAATGAAACATCCGAAATTCCCACATTTTTTTTTCTCTAACTATTTAATTAATGTAATTACTTTAATTTCTAGGTATTCTTGCAGCATTCTCAGACATGCAGACGGTATTCCTGGCATGCTTTGCCACCCTCGTACCCCTCATCGTCGCAGTTGCAATTGTGTTTGGTGTCAGGTAAAATGATCATTGTATTTTACGAAATAAAATATTTATTTGATGTTACATCGGGCTATTTACTGGTAATTGATAATTCAATGTGACGTTTACGAGGACAAAAGCTTTTTCGTGAAATTTTTTCGATAACGTCCGACGGATTCACGACCTGTCCACTCGTCTCTGGGACTCTATCGATCAGCTGCGATAAGAGAAGGAAAATAATTTCAAAAGTCTTGGCGAATTTTTATTTAACTCTCCTGTCTCTGAGGTGAGAGATAAGGGGACGCCCTCCGGGTTGACTGTGACTTCCAGAGGGTTGAAAACATTGGAAACACAAGGGGTTGCTCTAAGCGAGAGAAAAGACACTTGGATTCTACACCTCCGAGATACCTCGTATCATGTTCCACCCATGTAGGTCAACTTGCACATATTTAGGTACCTAGTTTTTTTTTTACCTCCAATGCGTCCATTCTGCGTCGAATAATAAAAGAAAGGAATGCCCTAGAAATTGTAAAAGTCCTAGAAATATAAAAAAACCAAAAAAAATCGATCCGAAAAATTTTGAAAATCAAAAAAATGCGATGTCGCAATAAAAAAAACGCTAAACCGATTTCAGTACATGGAAAAAAATATTTACCGGTAGATTAGTGTCGTGATTTATCTAAAGTACTCCAATCATTCGGTGAAATAATCTTGCCTTCGATCCTGTCATTAATCTTCGTCAGGATTTCTCCTTCTCGTCTTTGTGCATCCGGTACACGACTCAACCCCAGAGATTTAACAATTGTCATAAGTCAACAGAAAGCTGGATTGGCGATGGGAAATGGTAACTCTATATATTCCCTCAAAGATCGAGGAGAGTGTGTCCTGGGTACCTAGTGACATTGATTAATGCTGCAATTCAATGCTGCAATATCTCTTTGCGCAGTATTAGGCCGAATCGGGATGCGAGTGTTTCCGTTCGTCAGGGTCTCTCACTTTGTACATCCAACACCCACGTGCTATAAATTTCACCGTTGATTGATCGAGATATCGATGGTTACAGTATCAACGGAGATGCCTCGACTGGGGTTTCGGTTCTTTCGGGTAACGAAGTGAGGAAGTTTCGGGGAATTCATCTGGTGACGATGACAGGAGATATAAATCTCAGTGTTCGGATGTGAAATTGAATTTTTGAAGATTCCAAGGGAAGGAGTGACAGAAATTCCCGGTGAATTGATTGTTAGGAGCGTGAACTTAAGTTACTCCATTCAATCCACCCGGGTAAAAAAAAATTGTAATCGAGATTTTTTTTTCCAAATTTTCAAAAAATTTCTGAAAAATATTCCGAAATTTTTTTTTATGAAACAAAAAAATCGGAGAACAAAACAATTTCATTTTTTGGAAAGGTTTTGAAAAATCTTCGAATATTTTTGAATATTGAAAAAAATATTCCGATTACAATTTTTTTTTCACCCGGACAATTTCATTTGCAAAAAATCCATTTTGTTTTATTTAATTAATTTGAAAATTTGGATTTGCCAGGATATTGTGCCAGGGGTGATGAAATTTGATGACTAATTTTTGCTTTTAGACACGCATGGAGGAAATACAGACACAGGAGAAATGGCAGTGATCTGCCGTGGTACAGGGGCGTATGTTCCCGAGGTGATACACCAGATTCCCTGAACCATCGTCCGCACTCCGGTAGCATAACAATTCAACCGGCAACTAGAATTCTCTCAGCTCAAGACGTAAGTCTCAATAACTCAATTCCTATAAACGCGAATGCATCCCTCATCCCTCAGAACCTAGACAACCTCTAGGCCTGGTAATTCCCCAGGAATCTGCCAGACTTGTGCGATATTGTGGAGCGTAAAAGTGACGATTCTGGTGGTAGTTACGTGTATGTAGAATCGAGTTACCAGGTGAAGCAGTTGCAATATTAGGGAGACGTGCGGTTCGGATAGTTTCGAGTTTGGAAATTGGTTTCTCTCGTCGGAAGGAAACTCCTAGTGCCACTATTACCGAACCATTCCCCTCACTCTTCCCTCGTTCCTTCTTCACGCCTTTTAACCTTCTTCCCTCCTAGTACCGCCTTAGTACCTCTCGGAGATAAACTTTTAATGTCCATCGATCTATTAAATTACTCGACTCACACTCCAATTTTTATCTTCAATTTCATCTCAAGTGGTGCGATCTAATCGATGATCAATTTCATTGAAACTATTCCGAGACTCATCCAACAAATTTCTCTCAGTAATTCAATTAATTATGTAAAATCCAAGAGAACATCATCATTCAGTGGATTACTTTATCAATTTTACGTCATAATAATTATCAATTGAATTATTATCCAATTGTTATGAAAACACTTGGTGAGAATTTTCGGAATAATTATTGAATTTTTTCATTGAATGTCAAATGGAGTTTGTTGAAAAGGTAATGAGCCCTTCGTTAATGATTCACCGAGTGCTCGCATTAAAGAGCAATGAAGGGAGAAGGTTAATGCCAAGGAAAAGCTGTGGTTACCTGAGGGGCACCTCGGTTGATGTAGCATTTCTCGAAGTTACTGCAGGCTTGTCTACTAAACGTTGAATAAAGACCCGGGTGGAGGTACTGGGGTCAGACACGCCCAACCCTGCCCAAACACCAGTGCAAATCCAGTGAAATTTAATTTTCAATTATCCGTGAAATGTTTTTGCGAATAATTACACATGTGGCATATTGAATTTTTTTGTCAATACCGTTATGAAATTTTAATAACTTATAAAAAAATATCTCGATGTTAATTTCCATCGAGGCCAAGTTTAATGGCAGGTGTTCAATTTATTTCTTGTCTAGCCGGATAATTCGATCTGGAAAAGAGAAGTTTGGGGAATTGTGGGAGGAAGGAGAGGGTGAGGAATGGCTGGAGGACAACATTGTTTCTCCATTATCGCGGAAATGACCGGTAGATCACGGTTTCAAGTGCCGTGTCGATCCTCTCGATGCTATGGAGATCGTACATTGCCTTGGGCAACAGCGGAATCAGGAATTAGCCTCATGTAAATTCGAGAATAAACGTGAATGAATATTTTGGGCTGTTTTCTCGGACGAAAACAAAAACCCTTTCTGTTTACTCTGAAAGCCTCGAGCTTTGATCCATACTATACATTAAACAGTGGTATGCAAATGGATAAATTATTGTTGCAAGTTTTAGTCTGAGCACTGCGTTTAATTCATTCCCGTTACCATCAACAGATATGCCTGTGGCTACTTCGCAGTTTAGGGTATTCAGTCTGCGGGATTATAATGCATGTTGCTAATTCGTAGAATGCTTCCTGCAGATTCTCCAGTGGAAGATATGAAGGGATTGCCTTCGAGGGTACTAACGAGCTTTTGTCCTTGGGACTATCTAATCACCAAGTATTCTCGCCATTATAAATTCATTTCAAGCTCAATCCATTGTTTAATTGAAATTGTTCTAATCAAATTTTTATCTCGATTCGGTAAAAATAAAAATAATTTATAGAGGAACCTGAGGTGAATTTATTTCGAGTGGGAAATTTTTGCTTGAATCACCTTCACGGATCCTTCACCCGAACACTTGAAGGAAGAAAAGAATTAATCCACTCCACATGCAGCTAAGAATTTCGCCAAGTAATTTGTGGAGTTATTGTTCCTAACAAATCCCAGGGAAGTTTCTTCGGTACATCCCCAGAGGCGGTAACACTAATCTGAAGAGTTATCTCCTCACCAGCATCACCAGATGCTGTCTGCCGAGTATTTGCTCGTTGCATGATTATTTCAAACAAGTGCCACCTGGTACTTCTTTCGATGCAGTTGTTACGAAATTTTTTATTCAACTCATACAATGGCATTTATTTTTTAATAATAAATTTATCGTAATCTATGCATGAGGAATTTGTTCTCTCTGTGGTTTACAGCAAGTTTCATTTCTTCGGGGGCTCACAAGAAAATAGAAATGGCGACAAGTTATACCAAAGGGGCGGATGACAAATGGATGATAACGTAATTGCATTTTACGCGCAAGTGTGGGGTCGCAAAGTCAAAATTACACATCACGAAATGGTACAGGCGTACAAAACTGCACTCCCTGTGCGATTAAAAAAGTTGAAGGACTTTAGTGTTCATTTCAATTTTTTTTTTAACTGCTATTTTTTTCATTTGAATTTTTTTTTTATTCTCTACTGAAGCGCGTTCGAAGCACTTGGAGGAAAACTTTATGGAATGGGAATGTACGCTAGTGCAAACGTGTTCACAGTGACAACGGGAAAAAGTGGAGTGGGACGAGGTGAGGATGAAGCCATGCATATGGAAAACCATTTCAACATTAATTACCTCTCTGTGAACGAATAATTGAAAGCTTTATAACTGAGTTGAAAGCCTTACGCCGGGAAAACTTTCACCTATCGCTTGAAAATTCAGTTCTCAGTCATTATTAATGAATTATTATGAATTGTACACAGCCCTCAGTGCGCGTGATATTTTATTGGAGATGAAAAATCAACTCGAAATAATTTTGTTGAAATGTCAATGAACGAGTGCCACCGGGTGGATCTGCGGTTGAAAAAAAAAATTTCCCGATGTTTGAGGAAGAAGTTGAGATTTTTTTATAATCGATTCCTGATTTTTTTTTGTTTCCACAACTTCTTGGTACAATAATCGATGCAGGACCTCTCCGAGAACTTTTCCAGCGCAAGTTTATCCAGACTCGAACGATTGCCTCAGTCGGAAAAATCAATGAAAAAGTAAAAAGTACACGGGAAATAACGCACATTGAAAAACATTGGGGAAAAGCCCCGGAGAATCTGGGATACGATTTAGCAAGATATTCTACAAACGTGTGGAAAACTTTTTGCGAACAGTAAAAATGGGTTACATCATGCGAATCTAGCGATCGGAGTCGATGGGTCGAGGGGATATAGGGATGAAGAGATAAAGCCAACAGTGCACGACTGCCAGAAATTTTTTCCATCGCATTTCTCGATACCGGAAAAATGGACGATAATAAATGTCACGGATCAGACTTATCTCCATTCAGAAAGCCCGAAAATGATTGTGTTTTTTTTTTGACTAGGTGTTATCATTTGACATCGAAAATTTAAATATTCCCATAATCTTAAATATCCAAAAAAAATTGTAACTCGGAAAAAATTCACTTGCCACTCAAAAAAAAAAATTGAAATTTTTTTAAAAGTGAAAGGAGGGAATTTCAAAAAATTTTGACACTATCCCCTGATTTCCACTGACAAATTGATCGAATAATTCCAACTGAAGCGACAACGACTTCTACAATTTCCATACATCGTCATATGCACCCTGGAAACTGAATCTGCAACCGACGAATGTCAGTAGCTTGCACCAGTCCCTAGTCCACCCCTTTCCGTTTCTCGAATTCTGGAGAGGAAGCCAATTCAAATGAAATCCAATCACGTTTTCAGCCCCTGCAGAGGTCTTGATTCTGTCCTTTCATAGTTCCACCTCCAACGCTATCAGAATTTCCCACTCCAAGTGTCAAAATCATCACCCCCAAAATCTCCTTCCGCAGAACTCCAAATAATAAAAATAACCAATTGCTCTTCACATCGATAACATATCAATCACGATAAGGCATCATAGAATTTGAGTCCCGAAGAGAATTGTCCCTTCCAATTGGTTCAGACACCGCAAATGGGACTCATCATTGACCTGGAGAGATTTTATCAACCCAAATCACATCCTTTGTAACAAAAAGACCGATGTACAAGTTGTATGTACTACAAGAAGAAAAATTGGAAGTACTGCATTGCCGTAGGGGCTCTCTTCGTGGTATGGCGTTGCGGTTGTGGCTTACTCGGTACACGCACACACATGAGGGCTTGCAGGCTTTACTCCTACATTGACAAATATACCCCTCTCTCTCATCCTCCTACTTCCTCCCCTGGCCACCCCCTCACCCTTTACAGCCACACGCAAATCCAGTTTCATTTCAATGAAGACAGACAGTGCAGAATGCGGTAAGTGTTTCTATTCAAAGTGAAAACCGTTGAATCTCATTGCTAGGACTCACTCTTCACTCCTGTGTTCTGCTTCCTATTATGTAATCTTCTTTTTTTTTTTTTTTTGGGAAATCGCATCATCATGTCGAACGTTTACAGTCTGAGGAATTTTTTTTTTACTTTGAATTTCGGGCGAGACGATTTGCTATGGAATTTATTTGCCTTCCTGGATATATTTTTCAAAGAACTCGGTACGGTTAATCCAATGTATTGAGCAATGAGCAACAACAGCTGTTCGTGTACCCGCAAGCTTGCGGTTGAGGACTGAAACCTCCAGCACACGTGCAGCACGGCTATCAGTGCCCATTGGAACACATGAAATCATTTGTTGTGGGATTGATTAAAAAATCGTGGTAATCCAATATTTTTTCAAATTATTTGGAGGTTTTGATATCATGAATGGAGATCATATTTCTCGACTGAATAATTTCAGTGAAACAATTTCTTCTTTTCGCTCAAATTTTTTCTGGCTGCGCGTGGCAATTTTTTAGGATTGGTTTTCGTTGGTTTTTATGTTTATAGAATGAAATTGTTGTTTTTGATTTGTTTCATGAGCTCTCATCTTTCACCATCAGACTGATAATTAGAGGGGAATTATCCTGGGGTGTTCACACGTTCCTGTGAAATACAAGGGGCCGTGAGGTGGAATAAAAATTCAGTGGTAGAGATGAGTGACCTCTTCTCTCTGGGTATCGTGTGTATACGAGAAT